CGGTCACACTTAATATACGTAATATTTAAAATACCGGGAGGTAAATATTAGTCCTATGTAGTTCCAAAGTGGTAAGAAGGTATGACTTAGGTTACGGATATAGAATACATGTAGAAATACTGGGTTTCATATTTGTGCATATGATACTTGTAACTTAATTTTTACTGTACTGAGTTATATATACTCACTCTTTATTATTCACATATGAAGAATGGATGGAGTTGGAATCGGAGTTGCTGGTTTCCGAACCTAAAGTATAGTGCAACAACGCAGAGATTTTTATCGGTAGAATTGAGTGTGTAAAAGTTAGTGGTAGTGTAGATAGTGTGTCTGCTGGGAGTGTATGAAGGTTGTATTTTACTGTCATGTTACATATATGGTTGCAGGTTTATCCTTAATTTTGAATAATAGATTGTGGTAGTATTTTTATATGTACGACTAATTTGAAATGAAACTTTCGTATTTGGTCATGAAATTACTTTAGACTACACCGTTAAAAGTAAAAAAAAAAAAAAATATGGCGTTACACTATCAGTATACTAAATTAAGTTTAACATAAAATAATATAAACTAGATGATTTAATGTTATTTGAACATTTCTTCTTCTTTATTTAATTATATGAAAATAAAAAAATTATATTAATAATTATGAATAAAAATATATATGTTCAATGTATCTTTTAATATTAAATATAATTTAACTGATAATATAATATGTTATGTGTTTAGTACTATAATTAAACACAATTGCAAATTTTACAAATCTTAACGAGAGAATTTGAGACAAATTATTCAATAACCCGATAGCTTTTAAAGCATCTTATTCAATCATCGTATAACTCATTCTCTTAACTATTGTAAACCCGGTAATTATTGATTTTTTGTTTTTTATAATTCTGATAAATAATAGTTACATAATTTATGTTCATTCTCATTACTGTACTGGTTTTTTTATTTGTTATTGATTACTATTTTTATAAATAATATTAATTAACTATATAATATAATTCTGACATTATTTTTTGTCAAAATGCATGTATTAAAATTTTATCCTATATTTTGATCAAATGAATAATAAATATTAAACCTTTTAGGGTCCATCGTTGTTAAATATTATTTCACATATTGTGCTTGTTTTGATTCACAAGCATTCTCCTGTAAGTACTTTAAAATATTTTAATTTCATAATTTCATTTTATTTTATAAAGTGAATGTGAATGGAAATAGAATCATATAATATTTTTACTCTCTCAAATTCTCAATAAGTACTAAGATAAATATCACGTCATCAAAATTAGAAAAAAGAAGAGCAGTTTAAGCTTGTAAAATTACATACATACGTACATATATATATATATATATATATATTATAATTCTTTATTAATAATTCCACGTACAGCACGTGGATGGTGGCATGAAAAACTTTGGAAAGACATAAGAACGAGATCTACTAGCGTCACGGTCACCAATAACTTTTGGATGTTTTCATTGGTTCTTTACGGCTGTCTCCCCATGATTCTTCTTGTTGCTTTAGACTAACGTCTCATCCTAAAGGCGCCGACCCATCAATACACTCCACATATTCATAATTTAAGTTTAAAATAATGTTTTTGAAGTAATAAATATTTATAAATAAAATTGCATTTATATTATGTAGTTATTGGATATTGGATAAAAATTCTTTTATGTATGTTTACATATGTATATGGTAATAATTATAAATGGGAATATAATTGTGTAGTTGGGGAGAGGAGGAGGAAACGGTGTCGTTTGGAGAAGATGAAGAGGAAACGACGTCGTTTAGATAAGAATAGGAGGAAACGGCGTCGTTTGGAAAAGAGGAAGTGGACGGCTGGGATGAGGTGAGATGGAAGAGCAGGATGAGAGGTGATGGGATATAAATAGGAGAAGAAAAAGAAAAAAAAAAAAAGAGGAAAGAAAAGAAAGAAAATAGAGAAGAGGAGTCGGGGGAAGAGAAGGTTCGAGAGAGAGAGAGGAGCCGAGCGGGGAGGAACGAGAAGAGAGAGAGAAGGAGAAGGAAGACAGTGACGGTGCGAGCCACGGGAGTGTAGAAAGAAAGATGGAGATTGGAGGTATGATAAATCTTAAATTTCATGTGTAGGTTTAGGATGAATGTGGAATTGTGACTGTAGGTTTGGGAATATATAGGCATCGATTAGGAAATGGAGTAGAAAACTGTGATTTAGGGAATAGGTGGGTAGAAATAGACGGTGGAATCGTGGAAAGTGTGAAAATGAAAGGTGAGTGGAGGTACATGGTAGGATGCTGTGGGAGGAGAGAG